AAGCTTTAGAAATGGCTTTATAACCTTTTCCAGATAGAAAGTAATTGAGATCTATCATTCTCATTTGTTTCTGAATTTCTTTGAATCTCGGCATGATGTCTAGCTTTTGAGGATCTTTTGGTCTACTTCACTTTGTCAGGCAGGTCCTATTTAAGAGATTTCTTGATTGCGAACAGGTGTGGCAGTAATCAGGCCTGGGTGTGGCTAGAGAAATTGAACTCAGGGGTGATAAACGACAGTTTTAACAGGGGGGCAAACACTTCTTCACACAGGGACATGTAGATTTGGATTTAGTTTTCCCTTAATAATAAAAACCTTCATTTAAAAACAGCATGTTGTGTTTACTTGTATTATCTTTGACTAATATTTAAATTAGTTTGATGATCCGAAACATTAAAGTGTGACAAACATGCAAAAAAATAAGAAATCAGGAAGGGGGCCAACACTTTTTCACACCACTGTAAGTGGTTAAATGTACTTGCACATCGGCTTTTATTCTTTTATGATGCGAGATTAGTGCAAACACAGCCCACTGTGAACATCCTTGTAATTCACTTCAACCTTTATGAATGATTATTTTAGGTTTAAATGGTGCATGTGCAAGGAACTGGAAGCAAGCAGAATATGGCTATTTCTAAAGCACGCAGTGCCATCTGCTGTTAAAAACTAAGCTCAGAATCGATTCAAGAGAGAATCACGGTGCCTTCCGAAAATCTCAGAATTGCTGCAGAAACATTTTTCGATTCGCGATGCATCGATTTATTGTCCCAGCCCTATTAAAATACACAATGCTATATGCCTAAAATAAAATAACAAATAACTTGCACAAAGTTTAGGTATACAAAACTGAAGATCAGTAAACACTGTGGAACCAAATAAATAGTCTTCCAATATCACCTTACATATAAAAGGCACAAGACAACAGACTTTTCAAAATCCAAAATATTTTTAAACCGGGTGCTTTTGCACGTCGTTTTGAAACTTCTGAAATCATCTTGTCTGTCTCACCTCACGTGATTAATGAAAACTGGACATTGATCAGCCATGTTCAATGTTAATTGTAGTGTCTGTTCTCTAACGGAACCAAATTATTTTTATTACTATAAAAAGTCAAAACGGCAGTGGGGGCGGTGCCGCGGTGTGCAAGTGACATAACCGGTGTATTCACGGTCTATTCACAACAACCCTAGTACACAAGAATCATACTTCATATCAAAACATTAAACAAGTACAATTAACTTTGTAAGAGTGTTTGAGTTAGAGAATGACTGCCTTGACTGACATTTCAGTTAATAGAATCTATAGGCTATATGTGTGCTTGCTGGTGATTTTCCCCCTTCCTTGTTGCAAGTAAGTATGCACTGATTGAATGGCCACCAATTTTTATCAGCCGATATTTGTCTCCTGTGATTGGCTGATCTAAACTCAGGACTTATCTTTTATTAGCTGCAGCACATAGGAAATCACACATACTGTACAATGCTATTCTAATGACTAAAGGGGTGAATCATTTGCAATTTCACTAATTCATCAAACACTGTAATTCAGACGAATTTGACAGTTTGTTCTAAAAACAAATATTAATAGAAGTATTCTGATTTTTATTTTTTTACACAGAATGCATGCATGTTTATACAGAGATATACATTTAACCATGTTTATAGTTTAGGCATCAATAACTACGTCTTCATGATGATGATTCCTAATAATTGTTAGAACAAAAACACCAACATCAAAAACAAATAAGATACTAAAAAATGTCTCACTCGAGCAGTTTTGTAATTACAAGTTACATGTAATAGATATACTGCTGTGTGTGACAAGGGTCACTTACAGCTAAAACAAGACTTGAGCTTAAATAGCAGGGTTTCATAACCTCTTAAAAATAAATATTGGTGATTAACATTGGCTGATCTTATTGTTAAAAAATAGGTGATCACATCTGCCACAAATTTCCTGATTGGTGCACCACTAGTTGTAAGGTTTGCATGTCCCAGAGTGAGAAAATGATTTCTCTGTGCATAAATAAACAACGTGATTGCTCTCGTAGTGTGAGTGCTTAACATGATCAAAAGCAGTGTAAGCGGCATAATGTGTAATATCCTCCATATGTTCTGGGTTGAATCAATCTCATATTTTGCCACACGTCTGACAATCGCAAAAGACGACCCAGAGAGATCAGTTGTGTCACGGAAAGCTTGCGTGTCAGTTGCATCACTGGTGGCAGGTGCCTGAAAACTGAAGTTCACTTCTAGCACCCATGCAGCTGGTGTTCTACATGTGCACTGTTGAAACTGAAGCCTGGATGTAGAATAGTTGAAGTGTTTGCACACAGTGACATCCAATCTAACCAAAAGAGCCCAGCACTGATATTACCAATACACAAACACTTAATATCAAAAGTACCACTGGTGCCGAGTAGGGTTGGGTATCTTTTTTTCGATACCGGTGCCAAATCGATACTTTTAAAACAGTTCCGGTGCCTAAACCGATACTTATTAAAGAACAGAGAAAAGAATATAGAAAGCTAGTGTTAGAGGCTCTTTTTTCTTTATAAATAAAACAAGTAGTTAGAATAGAAACAGAATAGAGTGCGCAAATGTTAGAGGATCAAGTTTTTTAATAAATAAAAAAAGGCAGATTAAATCAGAAGTAGCATTAGAATAGAGAGTGCTAGAGTTAGAGGGTCAAATGAAGATGAAAGATTCGTTTTCAGCCATTTCTTGAAAATATTAAGGACTCAGCTGCTTGGATTGAGCTGGGCAGGTCATTCCAACAGGAGGGAACAGTTAATGTAGAAGTCCATGAAAGTTTTATCATAGGTAGAATGCAAAATGTTTCAATACAAGCATTTCAGTCAAATGTAATTTATGCAATATTTCAAAACTTTAACCCACTTGGGAATATCAACCCATGGCAACAGTTTAAAAGTAGCCCAATTCTGTGTAAAAAAAAACCGCGGACTTGGCAACCTTGCATCCAACAAGAGCTGCAGGAGTCAGCTTTGACTGATCACAGGTCGAGAATAAGGAAAGATGACCGACAAGACCATGCTGGAGTATTTGCTGCTCAACAGATTCTGAGCTCATTGACAAATATCTGATCTTGTAAGATGTGTTGTTCCCCTTACACAGTGCGTGATCGCGAAATCGAAAGTAAAAGTAAACAGCGCAAACGCTCATTCAAAAATATGTAAAAACACCGCATCCTTAGACTCCCTGATGCGCCAAAATTATATACAATATTAGAATGTTTAAAGGAGTGGACACGAAAATCGACCGGCCGAATCCCGGACATTTTGGGCAATTAAGAAATCCCGGCCGGACGCATTTTTGTAGGTCCAAAAAGAGAACATGTCCGGGGAAAAGAGGACGTATGGTCACCCTACTTTATAATCTATTGCTAATCTATGTATTTTTTAAAGTAATATATGGAACATATTTTCTGCCTCATTCTGTGACAAGAAGCCTCATCAGATCACAAAAGGAAGCATTTGACTGGTGTTGTGGAGTAAAAAGGTTATAATGTTATCTTTTGTTGGACAACATGTTTAGAAATGTGAATACAAGGGAGGTTTAGCGTTAGGCATTTTAATTTAAGCATGTTTAGCTTAGTTAACGGAAGGCTACCTGCTGCCATCAGAGCAAGTGTAATTACTGCATTCACGCGCTCCTCGGATGCTCTCATTTCCCGAGTTGTGCTTTTAAGTCGGAAAGTGAAAACAACATGGACACTCTCGTTACTACAAAGATGTGTTGGATTTGTATTATTACAGCTTTCCGACTTGTTCACGTGCATTTTCTCAGTCGGGAAATTATTTTTCACGTGCGGTGCCAGTGATGATGCTTCTTACGTCCGTTTCGGAGAACCAGAGGAAATATTTCAATCGATCGCTCAGGCATGGCACCGAAATGAGGCACCGAAATTCTGCATTCTGATTCGGTTCTAGTACATACCGGTTACATAGGTACCGGTGCCATATTGGTACCGGGTTTCGGTACCCAACCCTAGTGCAGAGTCAATACCGAAGTTTTAAAAATGCAACAATACAAGTTATAATCAAGTACTGTGTCAATGTGTTACTTGCTGATGGGTGATTGCTTTCAAATGCTTCTGTATATTTGTTTGCACGTTCTGTGAAGAGCATCAAGTTTCTATTTACAAATTTTTAATGTTGAGTACTGTAGTCAATCACATGATGCGACACTCTCACAAGCAGTTCTAATGGTGTGTGCACACCAAAAGCGAAGCGAATAAAGCATCGCCTTAGCGCTCTAGATTACTCGTGGGGCGTTTGTTGTGTGTCACTTGGACGAAAACATCGTGCAATGCTCTCCTCTATTTTCGGATACATCTGGACGTCTATAACCGGACATATATATATATATATATATATATATAAGCTCTTCACTGATTGGCTTGCGTATATCACGCTTTATATCAGGCTTTCACAGCAACCACGGCTTTCAATTCGCATCATTCGCATTGCCCGGCACAAATTCGCATCTATTCATTGTTCATGAACTGTTCATTCTGCTTAGCACTCTACCATAGCAATGGATGGAACAAAGAAAAAACTGATCGTGCATGTCAAAATAGATCTGCGATTCAAATCGGAGTATAAATATAAACTATCAGACCTGACACCTGCTCTATGCAATGGGTCTCTTTGTTCTTATTACTATATGTTCACGAAAATGTTTTAAAATTATGTTTGTTTAGTTAAGTGAAAATATTTGCAGGCTATATTGTTCAAATTTATCACTTATAAGTTTTTTTTTTCCTATGGTACCAAAATTGTTACTTTGTATAGACAGACTACTGACATTTTGGTATTGTGACAACACTAGTCTCAATACGACTGCCTACACCAACCTTCAGATGTTTAGTCTCCTATTTTGTCTAACTTGGGAATTCCATACCATGAATTCCATACCGTGTTAACTTGTTTGGAATTTGGAATATTGCTTTAAAAATACAGAAGCAGTTTGAGCACTCACTTGCTAGTTTGGCCTGCAGTCCGGAGGGCCCAGGCTTGGAGGAGGTCTCAGCCTTGGCCGATCCCAGCAGGGACAGTTTGGGCTTTGGCAGGTTGACTTTGGAGTTGAAGCGGGATGTCCAGTCAAACTTGGAGGAGCCAGCAGCCTTGCTCTGCTCTTTATCCCGGCTGCTCCTTCGGGGAGAAGGGGAGGACGCGGAGCGTGACCGTCGCGCTTTGCTCTGGTCCTTGCCCTGTTTTAGCCGGGCACCCTGAGGGGCGCAGCTGTTGGCGCCTGTGGCGGCCGAGGAGGAAGAGGAAGAAGAGGATGAGGAAGAAGCAGAGGAAGAGGAGGAGTCAGTCACGGTGCTACACCCAGCTTTGGCTGAGGCGGCCGATTTGGACGCCAGCTTGGTGGGTTTGGCTGCCCGGCTGGCCTCGCTGCGGGGTGGCAGGGGGCCTGCCGCGCTGCTCGAGCTGGGGAGGGAGGAAGAAGATGAGGATGACAATGAAGAGGCGTCTGCCTTCTTACGCTTTTGAGAGGAGGTGCTTGAGGCCCCAATCGGGCCAGGGTAGGACACGCTCTTCTTGCTCAGGGCTCTGGCGGGAGCCGGCTCGGCTGCTAAACGTCTCTTTTTGGACTTGGTGCTGACAGACGCTGGAGCCTTCCTCGGCTCTGTAACTTCAGGTGAGGTTGTGGGGGCCGATGGCCCACTGGATGAACTCTCCAAAAGGTGGCTGGACACCGCTTTGGGCCGTTTGGCCGGGCTGGGCGAAAAGGTGATGTTGGGCTCTGAAGCTGAGCTGCGTTTGAGAGCACGGGTGCTGCTGCCCTCCCGTCTCCCCTGCTGGCCAGAAGTTCCTGCTGCTTCCAACTCTGGATCTGGAATCGAGTGTGAACCCACGGATAGAGAGAGGCTGTTCCTGTAAAAACAATCAGAAAGGGGAAAGACTTGAGTACCCAAGACAGAGCAGTCGTCAGAAGGTGAACTTGCATCACAAAAGACCCACACGCAATACAGGAGGAAAAAGGGATACCTTCGAGAGGCGTGGCCGCGGGCGGAGCCAACGGCAGAGCTGGGCGGGGCTTTGGAAGCCTTAGAATTAGATCTTCTATTTTCAGGAGGGAAATTTGCTTTTTGGTTTACTTGCTCTGGCTGCAACCTGGAGAGGTTGGGAATTAAATAGCAGAGAGCAGTGTGGGATGGGCAGTAAATGAGGAACACCTCAAATTCAATTTCACAAGCTGACTACTTCTGCAGTCCTTACAGCACTTCCTACACACCCGTCAATCCAACGGCAAAGACAAACAACAATCATTACGAGTTTCTATCTGGACATTTCTCACAAGTTGAGAGCATCACTGAGTTGGGCAGCTAAACTATTAGCCATGTGTCACTGGAGGATATAAAGAGCTTGTTTGAAAGAGAAGAGACAAAAGTATCCCCGTAAGTGTCGAGCGTCTGTGCATCAGGCCTAAAAGAGAGACACACTGTCAGTCTTCCCTGCACTGCTATTCAGCAAAGATGCCATGCTACAACTGAATCTATAGCACTATGGCAAAGGAAATTATAATTTATTCAAGATGAGAGTTTGCAGCGTGAATCGAATGTGACTAGAGAGACAGACTGAGCACCCTAAAATAACATACATATATTTCTACTGTTGACATCACATAACCAATAAAGTCTGCATCCAGAACATCTTATTCTTATTAGATGGTCATGCCTTGAGATCAAAAGTTATCCAATTACACTAACGTTCAATAGTTTGGGGTCAGTAGTTTTTTTTTTTTTTGTCGGAAAGAATGTAATATTTTAATAAAACAAGGACATACTGAATCGATCAAAAGTGGCCGTATTTATAATGTAATGAATATTTCCATATCAAATCAATGCTGTTTTGGAACTTTCAATTCACCAAAGAATCCCGGGAAAAAATATATATTAAGGTTTCCAAAAAACATATATTAAGCAGCACAACTGTCGTCAACATTATTGATAATAAAGGTTTCATTATTCAAAATGGTTAAGGAACCATTACAGATGCACTAAGTAATATTTTGTTTATGTCGCAGTGGTCAACATGGCTGTCACCTTGGATTGATAAAGAAACCTAGCGATGTGTGTCACAGGCAGAAACTATAAAAAAAAAAAAATCAGTCAGATATTATTAATTTATGCTGAGAGTAAAAGTATCCAATAAAAGAGCCTTACTGAGATTAAAAAGTGGTACTGGAAAGGTCATGTGACCTCAACATTGTAACTGTTGCACAAATAGAATTCTGCAGGTACAACTGCTCTAGATGCAGATAGGTAGATAAAAGGTACACGTACAGACCTAAACCAAGGACGTATTCAGCACTTTGGTGCAAAGTTTGGCAATTGCATACTCACCTTCCTGCAAGTGTGTGGTCTATTGGCTGGGCCGCGGCTGTGTTCCTCTGTGAACGGCGCAGTGACCCCCCTGGATTGGAATTAGGCCGGTTGGACATTGGCACCTCTCTCCTGAAGGGACATACCCTTTCTAGACACTACCATTCACTGGTAACAAAGTATAAAGAGAGAAAAAAGGAAGGTTAGTTGAGATGTTGTCTGAATGTTCTCAATGGTCTTGCAAACCAATTTTGGACAAAAGCCATTCTGTACTTATAGTCCATATAGGATATAACTGACTGGTGGATACATCCACTCTGACTGGTGAATAAAGTGATCTTAGTCTCACTGATTGACCAAATGTTTAATTAATCTCCATTCTGTCTGGTCCAAACAACCATGACCAAATGCACCTCCTGTTCCATTTATGTAAAGTAGGGATGCACCGATACAGATACTGGTATCCGGCTTGATACTGAGCTCCTGTACTCGTACTCGTTAAAATGCCCCGATACCAAACGCCGATACCACACAGCATGTAATAAGTGCCATATTCAGACAATGAAACACCAACAACAGACAGCAGAATGGAGTTATTAGAGATTAAGGATGTCTACGAAGTATATGTATGCAATGAATATAATGTTTAACATTCAGTATTGACTGTATAGCTGATGTGCGCGAGCTGATAAGCAAAGCACTCTGAGTGGATTGAGCGCGGCGGCACAGATGCGTGAGCTTGTCGAGTGAATATACCTTTCTCACAGACATCACTGGAAAGTTTGTAGTTCGGTCGGATACGTCAAAAACAATTAAGTAAATCAATGCACGAATTTTGACGCTCTCGCCGCCGGTGGTCAGCGTTGTGGGTAGCGCGGCCAGAGCGATCTTTTGACGCTCTCGCTGCCGGCGGTGTGAACGCACTGTTAGGCATACACGACTTTCTGGCGAAAGTGATATTAAATTAAAGATGATGTACCATAGAGCAAATGAACAGTGAAAGTAACAAAACCTTGTAAAATACATTTTAATGGGCATAATTAAGTCTGAAAATAGCCAATGGATATACAGTCAAACCAAAAAGTATTCAGAGACCAGATATAATTTTTGATATTTTTTTTATAGTGGGTTCAGGACACTATAGTTCATTTATGTAAGTGATGATAGCAAAATAAAGTAAACCGTGACAAATTATACCCTAGATTTCTTAATACAGTGGACTACCAATAAAACTGATACAAATTTGGGACCAAAAATTATTCAGAGTCTGGGGAGAAAAAAAAAAAAAAAGAAGTTCAGGTTTGCATGAAGCTGGGTGACAGCATGCCCAGGAGACTACAGGCTGTCATTAAGGTTAAGGGTTGCCCAACTAAGTATTGATAATTGTGTAAATACTGTCATTCTAACAGCTGTATAATTTTTTGATTGATTGTAATCCATTAGGCTACATACCTTTCTATCAAATTTATCTAACATTATCAAGCTGAATTTATTCTGACAGTTTAACAGTTCTTGTCATATTTTATTACCATTTTCTAAACTATAGCGAATAAACTGTGATAATGTGAGAAATGTTGAAGGTGTCTGAATAAATTTTGGTTTGACTGTATCTATTTGATAAATGAAGTCAACCAACTAACATTATACATACTCTTTTGGTTTCTGTACCCAATATTTAAAAAAAATTTACAAATGCAATAAAATATTGGTATCCGTACTCGGTATCGGCAAGTACCAAAAATAAAAGTATCGGTATCGGGCGAGTACTGGAAAAAGTGGTATCGGTGCATCCCAAATGTAAAGCCAATAGGAGTTCAATATCATCTTTGGAATCACAGACATGTACCGCAGCACATCCATGGCTCCACCACTCGTAACAGATCAATAACTTTACTCGCATCTCATATTAACATACGCCACAGCACTACTGCACAAACGATCCATGAAGACACCAAGAAAATGATGAAGGAGTGAGAGAGACAATCAATAGGACAAACGCTTTCTGAAAAGACATTGAAGGAGAAAAGGACAAATGCTCAGGAAAACCAACCACTAATATGAATTACTTGTACACTGACCAATCAAATTTTTGTTTGATGCCCATTTCCTTAGTAATGCTGGCACCAAGCTTGAGGCGATTTTGAAGACGACAGCATGCTGGCCTGCATCACAACATGCAGTAAGATAAGACGCATCCTAAACATAGACAGAATAGCTGGAGGTGGGCCTTTGTGTCCTCCTCAGTTCAGTGGTAATGAACAGCACTAACCATCAATCACTACGACGCCGCAGAGACACACATGCCCACTACACCTTTATCCTGCGAGTATGCGAGATGGTGTCATACGGCACCATTATATAAGTGGGGGTACATGATTATGAGAGATAATCTAAATGAAAGACCATGACAAACGGCAGCAGTGAAATCTAATGGGGATAAAGATTCAAGGCTTGGTCTGCACATGAAGTCGCACTTGACTTATAAGACAAACGACAGACAAATTCATCCATGAAGATTTTTTGGAAACAATTTGAGATTCAGGTGTGTTGAAAGAACTTGTGTGACTAGACAGTATGTGATGTATTCCAATCAAAACTATGCACTTGAGCTGACAGTTATCAATGTTTTTTGTCCAACTTCATGATAAACATCAGTTATTGTAGAATGTGCAGTCATGAAGATAATCAGAAATGTTTAATACTGTATCTTCTTATAGCAACTCATTACACATTTCCTCAAAGTATTGGTGGCCATTTGTAATATATGGTCACTTTTCTTTCACCCTACCACATTCACTAAGTGGAGGGTAAACACTCTTGCCGTTACACTCCTGTGAACAAATTGAAAGTTTACAAAGACAAATACAATCTGATGCACTGCGTGTTTCAGAGTGAAGCGCTAAAGAAGACAAGATGGTGCCGATGATGATGGCGGACTCCGTGGCGTGCTCTGCAGTTGTTTTGTTAGTTTGTCCTGTCATTAGTTATCCCTGCAATCAGTTTCACCAGAGACGAATTGCTGGACATTCGGCACTACACATCACCCGATATATTACCGGTTTTCGACTATTCTGATGTTTTGCTGGACATAGTAGTTGGCGGAGCAGCTGCGCTGATCAAGCACTTCAGGAAGCGCAGACGGGGGAAGTGAGCCGGCGCCCTCGTGAAGCTCAGGCAGCGCGGATTTCGAACGCCGTTGCCCAGCATTCATCTGGCGAACCTCCGCTCTCTACCCAACAAAACGGACAAACTCCTTCTGCTCTCCCGGACAAATAAGGATTTCTCACACTCTGCTGTGCTGTGTTTCACGGAAACCTGGCTGAATGACGCCATACCGGACAGCGCGTTGAGTCTGCCGGGCTTTCAGCTGTTTAGAGCAGATTGCGACGCAGCGAAAGGTGGTGTACAGATGTAACCGTGTTAAAGAAGATGTGCTGCCCCGATCTAGAAGCGCTTTTCATTAACTGTAAGCCTTTCTATTCGCCGCGGGAGTTTCGCTCGTGCATTCTCGTGAGTGTTTACATTCCTCCGCAACCACACGTGAGTTCGGCTTTACAATAACTAGCTGATCAGATCACAGAGACAGAGCAACAACACCCGGACTCTGTTTTAATCATTCTTGGGGACTTTAATAAAGCAAATCTCTCCCGTGAACTGCCAAAATACAGACAGCACATCACATGTCCCACCAGAGAC